CAGTGTCCTTAGGATTCAACCTGTGATGGTCGAGGTCATACACATTGAGCTGATATCAGCAACTGAAAGATAATTAGTTATTCCCTGCAGGTGGAAGGCTCCTCCCATCCAGCACCTCAGCCTGAGGATTCTCATGGATCCAGTAGAACCTTCTGGTCTCTCTGTGCACACAGAGAACACAAGAACTTCAGAACCAGTTTGAGACCTTGGGGAGTGGACAGCTTCCACTGCAGACTCGGGTAGAACTCGGTCTACTTCTATCATTACCCTTTTACTTGTGATGTTTCCATGGATTATTCTTCTAAATTTCCAAGGATTCGTATCATTTTCTACTTAGAATGGCCATTTCTCTCTTTTGTTCTTGCCATTTTCACATGTGTTTAGTCGAATTAGTCATCACAGGGTATCTTTTGATTATTGCCTGTTAGCTCCTTGACCTTCATTCCTCACTCTTCTCTTCCTGCCTCACAGATGGAAACTCTAACAAGAACACACCCGTTCTGTCTCCTTTCATGCAGGTGGGAGACTGACTCCACACAAGCCCCTCCCATGAGCAGGACCCCATCCCCACCACTGACCCACAGCACACACCCTGAGCCAGTGTCCTTCCTTGGCTCCATCCAAGCAGTTATGACTTGAGGAGAGGCCTGCTCTGTTCTCAACAGACAAGATGGTAAAGGGGATGAAAGTTTTATGTTCTCATGTTTGTGTGTTTGTGTGTGTGTATGATCAACAGACTCTACATCCACACCATGTCCTGGTGGGGTTCCTTCTGTTCCCCACGCTGCCACTAACATTGTTGTGAACATGGTTTAAGACAGTGAGCCCCAGCAGGGATCTTTGTTCTCTGGCTTTGGATTGTTGACACCACTGTAGCCCCATATCCAGAGGGCACTTCTTACAAGCTTGCACACTGAGCTGGATTCTCCTATGATACACAGTTGAGTGCAGCTGGGACTCTTGAAAGTATTCAGGCCATCTGCATGGAGATATTTGTAATTCATTCATATTTAGGTCCAGGAACAAGCAAGTGCAAGTGACACTGAGTTTTGCACTTGCTAGTATAGGAGTTCTTCAACTTTTTATTTATGTCAGGGAATGAATAGGTAGCACAGAACTATGTGTGCAGAGAAGCTCCCTGGGGGAAACAGCTATAATTAGAGAGGAAGCCCCGGATCCTGAGAGGAAACCTCCCGTATCCTCCAAATGCATCTGCTCTTGGGGCTTAAGGACAGAAATGGGGAGTAGTGTGCACCCCCTGGTGACCAGATCCCCTTCTACAGTGAGGTTTGTGTCTGGGCTCACACTGACTTCCCCTCACTGTGTCCTTCGCACAGTAATACACGGCCGTGTCCTCTGCTCTCAGGCTGTTCATCTGCAGATACAGTGTGTTCTTGACGTTGTCTCTGGAGATGGTGAATTGGCCCTTCACAGAGTCTGCGTATCTTTTGCTACTTCCATTATAGCTAATAACTGCGACCCACTGCAGCCCCTTCCCTGGAGCCTGGCGAACCCAGCTCATGCAATAGCTACTGAAGGTGAATCCAGAGGCTGCACAGGAGAGTCTCAGGGACCCGCCAGGCTTCACCAGGTCTCCCCCAGACTCCACCAGCTGCACCTCACACTGGACACCTGCAGACACAAAACATCTTGGTCAGGAAACTGTCACACACCCGCTGTTTCTCTCACTCATATCCACTCACATACTCTAGAGACTCATGTCTCTTGTTCTTTTGTGAATTACCTTTAAAAATAGCAACAAAGAAAACCCAATGAAACACAAACTCCATGGTGAGTTGTCTGTGTTCTTCCTGATTTTGAACAGGAACACCTGGGAATCCCAAGACTGGGGCTCCTCTCCCAGCTGCAGGTTTAGTGTTGCGAAGTTTTAATCAGCAGAGGGAGGGACATATTTGCATGTCCTCTGACTAAATAGCCAACCTGTGATCTATGCTCCCACAGAGGGCAGTGACCAGAGCAGGTGTGACTGCCTTTGATTTGTTGCTATTGAGAGAATTTGGGAAAATATGTTTTTTATTATATGATTTTCCTGATCACAGACTTAGCCTCCATGTGCTACCTTTTTTTCCCACATGCACAGAAATCTTTAGGTGTAGATTTCATGTGACACCATTAAGATATAGGAACATATACCCAGAATTTTAGAGGATTTGTGAGGTGTCCAAGAGCACGTATGGGGTAAGAGTGACCCCAGTATATGTTCTGTGCTCCTCCCACAGGAGGAATTAGTCATCACAATCTATCCTTTGATTATTGCCTATTACCTTCTTAACCTTCATCCCTCCCTCTTCTCACACCCCACACATGGGAAATCTAAGAAGAACCCCTGTGTTCTCCCTCCTTTGATGAGGGTAAGAGATTGACTTCACTCATGAACCTCCCATGAGTGAAAGTGATACATTTTTATACTCTCTCTCTCTCTCGTGTGTGTGTGTG